TGCACAGCATCTGCTTTTCTGTCTTTGTGGGGAATCATGCGTGCCAGACGCACAAAATGATGGCTGGTCTGCAGGCCGCTCCACACTGGCTGGAACCAACCTTTGAGCCTAGCAAGGTCATGAGGACCATGCACCCAGTCCCCCCAGCAAAGAGTAGCAGTCTCCTGGAGCCAGTACTCAAAGTGCAGTATGTTAAACATGTAGGCACTTTGTCGACATTCAAATCAAGCGCAGCAACACCGGGGATATCAAAGATCATTTGGATGAACATAAACAAGTAAAATTGCACGGCTTATGCAGCCGAATAGCCGAACTGATCAAATCAGATAAAGTGGATTACATTTTATTTAGCTTAACATAATATAGTTTAAGTGTAACCCGGTGTAGCCCAGCTGCAGTGAAGAATCAGGAAGTACGCTACACCAACCTCAACATAAGACTATATACATATATTTATATAGCCCCTAGCCAAATATCTATATATGTATCGACATTATTTGTTAACTCGAAACGGGGTATCAGGATAGTCAGAATTGATTGATGGCAGCAGAAATACGTCCTTTGAAATAGGCGTCAGTTTTCTAAACTTAAGCGCGCAACTGATATGATAATATGTGTTTTAGCTAATCGAACATGCTAAATTTTTGACAAATCGTCTTAGCGTTATCTAAAAATATCAGTAAATGCCTCAAATAGGCCCCTGGGACTAAGCAAACTGGTGTAATTTGGGCGTTGTCACCAAAGGGAATAAATGCCTACCTTCATTCTTGCACCTCATCTATCTTCATTATCCGTAATTTCCGTCTCGCCGTTTAGTGCCAACTTCTTCCCACATCTCGTTTTGTCTTCTGTTTCGCAGAGTAAATCATCACAAACGGATTGCATGCAACTAAATACCGAGTGCACTATGTTATTTGGTAGTGTATTCAGGACCAATTAAATGTCAATTTTACGCGCGCTACCTGAATTATCGTGCAGCTAGGCAGCAATATACATGCACCTTTGACAGTTGAATATATTGATTTGTTACTGCTTGTCATTAGAGTTTATATTCCAACTTGTTGTTGTATGAGTTTAGCGGAACCTTACTGGCTTATCAGATTACACTGGTTTTTCTTGACATAGACAATTAACGGATTCGGTTAACATACCACTCTCGGTGCTTAGCGCTTGGTGGATTATAACCACAGCTGACACGCATGTGGTTTGCGCGCCCGAAATGGTTAACCGTACAGAATCAGCAATGTCACAAAGTGCCAGATCAGCTAAGAGCAACTTGTCGTATGCCTCGAAAACCTGGACACTATACCACTGTGTCGTCTATTGTATTGATCCTTCCCAGACCTTTTTTTAGCAAGAAACGAAGAGAGGTATTTTTACGTCAGGTTTCAGTCATGTGAACTCGCTGGAGTTGGAAGGTTAAAGCGTTAGTGAAGAAATTTCAGCCTGGACGCAGATATATGAAGTACCATGCGAAGTCTGTTATCACTTTGAATGCCAACTACAGTGTGCTCCAAGACACTATGATGAGCTTATGCGGGTTGAGTGGCGGAAGAAGTGGAAATGCTAGAAGTTGTGGTCATTTGGAACCAGTTTATAGGCTAATAAGTCAGAGGATGGAGACCGAAGTGAGGGATAGCGCCTGGCATTTTGGGTTATCTGAGAATCATTTTCATTGGGGTTGTTTTACACGGTTCAGACGGTTGTGATGATTATACTGCGATATTTCTTGTTTCTGTCTATACGCCCTGTAGTTGAGGTACAGCAGTTTAAAGCGCCAGTTCTATCAGTTGCTTTTTCGCGATAATATTTTAAACGTAAATCCGCAGTTTTCGGCACAATTCCGTGATTACGAGCTGTCCAGCAATCTATTTCTTATCTGTGTTTGACATGACAACATCGGAGGACTATTCTTTTATTACTTACACACCATTCTGTTGTGACGCCATTTTCCAGCGCGATCGATGCCCAGTTCTAGGCGTTTCATCTATCGGCGCGCTGGTAGCTTGAGCTTTTGCCATTTGTGGAGCTGGATAACTAAGCTCAGCAATGTATTTTATCGATCATTGATTTGTACTTAATCGTGCGAGGTTTATGTTAGGTCATCTTTTCCTCACCTTTTTATGAAGGCTGACCTGCATTTCTTTAGGTAATCTGTTAAGTGGATGCTGCTCGTACGTCATCTTCAGATATAGTGGTTCCGTGTGATAGTGACAGTTGAAAAACCGTGGCCTGTTTCCTCAACCCAGCAGATTCAAACATGAATGGCTATTAACTTTGGGTATCTTATGACCCCTTTTTGTAACTTGCGGCACGCAGCTACCTTCATGAAAATTCCGTGAGGATTAAGTACGTTATATTTTATAAGTTTTGCGAGTAATTTTTTGAACTACTCAAATGGCACCATCCACAGAATGCTTTGTATTTTTATGTGCTCTTCAGGCAATATTTATTATGGAGATATTAATTGTAATCAATCTGTTTTGGACTAAAATTGGCATACTGGAAAATAAGTGGACGATCCCAACCTCGCTGTCTCTTGAGACTTTTGTACCTATGAATTACTAGGGTGCACTTCGTTTCCAGTTCGTAGTATATTATTACTAGATACTTAAGTACAGCGTCCAATACTAGGGCTTCACGCACATGTGCGAGGGAGTTGGTCAGTTTTCGGGATCAACATTTTAGACAGGCGCTTTAAATCCAAGGCGCACTAATAAATACAGCAAATTTGGAAATAAAGTTGCTAATAATTTATGTAGCATGCTTTAATTTCAAGAGATTGGGAAAAGGGGACTTAGTTAGAAATATAAATGAGCTTAGGGATTAAATGTACGCTGGTGAACAGGTAGCGTTAACCAGTTTATTGGCTCAGGAAAAACCAAAGGACGTACAAGAATATTTTAGACAGATCATAAACTGAGAATCAGATCTTTTCTGATATACGGATGTAAACGTCAATGCGTGGATGAAACGCATCGTATTTGATTTCTCACCAATTGTCTACTGGACGATCCATCACTTTAGCAACCATTTATACTTTATTTCATTTTGTATTTCGGTAAAACGCGGCCTTATTCATGAGCGATTCTTTCTATATCCAGTGTTTTGTAGAATGTCCATCCTTTCACAATTTCATACTGGCTATGGAGCCGAGAAACCACTTGACACCCAGTTCGAATATCACCTGCAGCTAATCCGACCCAGCACATATGAATCGGACATTTTTAACTAGAAGATGATGGCTTACGCTTTACACATATAGCCCCATCTGGGTACAACTAAATATCTTAACGTTTATTTGGGTTAGTTATTGTGGAGAAGAGCAAGGAGACGTAGCTGTATGGACATTTGCTTGCCATTTACCAAAAAATTTCGCTGCTACTCCGAAACGAACAAGATAAAACACCGAAGAATTCTCTTCTTCATGAAGACTGCATTTAGTACCCACGGGTATCTTAAGGATGGATAACCTATTTTCCCCTCTACATGGGATTATTCGTTTAGCCATTCTCATCCACTTTTATCGTGTTACCTATACACTGCTGGAGCTCACCTTCCTTTGATGCCTTAGCTAAACTCTCATGCTCGTCGCCGGAATGGATGGTCCCAGGCTCTGCGTAGCACTTGTATTCGGCCGATGACCGTAAGGATTGCGCGCTTGCCTTGTACTCCTGAGTTAACCGGCTCGAAAAGGCATAGGTGCGAGGGACTTCACTTTATACCCAGCTGGTGCGAAACTGATGATGGTCGCATGGCAGTGAAACATCGGTACGGTGTGTTGGCCTGCTTTTAGTGCCTTTTTCTCTTTTTTTAGTTAGCATCAGCACCCTCACTCTGCTTCCTGTCACACTGTGCGCACAAGTCCGACACACATGCTCCAGTTGGCAGTATGTTGCTGACGAGGAGTGCCGAGAAGTTACTTTACTCCGTCACACCATCTGAGTCGCTGAAAATTCGGTCACCTGGCCAGAAATTTGTCAGGAATTGAATTTTGCTGTGAACTACGCTTCGGAATTGCGCCACTCTATTAATGTTTAAATTATGGGCTAAAATATCAACCGAAAACATACCACAGACATTCGTATAACTGAAGGGCTGCAGTCATCCCGTTTATTACTTATTCCTACTGTACTCTCAAATTTCACCCAATTCTCTACCCTTTACCTCTTCGACTATCACATTATGAATCCGGCTGTGACGGAAACAATTGCAGTTGGTGCTGCTGCCGATGAATTCCCGGTCGGCATTGTACAGCACTGATGTTCGAATCGCGCCATTTAACCGTGCCAGTCATCGAGTGTAAAGTGGTAAAGCAAAGTAAAATCACTTACTTTCTCTGATTGAAAATTAACAGTGTTATCTACAAACTCTAGTCAAGTGCGCGGTTTACTGGTTCTAGGTGGTGCACCCTTTCTCCAACTTTCCCTCATCACCTGACACCCGCACCAATTTCTCACGCTATGGTGTAAAGTAGTTTCACGGCATTTATACCCATCTACCAGTTGGCGTTTGAGAAAAATTTCCCAACCTTCTGTCATGTCGCGAAGAACAAAACTATGGCCTTCACAATCCACTGTTCATACCAATCCGGTTAGATCGATTTAAACATTTAACCTTCGGCTCATCTCTAACCTCCTTACAGACATGTCTACCATGATACCGCATCCATAGTTCCGGGATGAGTCATGTATTAAAATCAGAAGGCATATTTTTGTTATTCCTTGCTGGGGAAATAATTCGACATCACTGACCGTTTTAAATTTCACACAGTTTTTTATGTAGCCTCTGTTGTGTTCTGCATTGACCTGACGGAATGCATATGCGATTTATACCTATTAGTTTCTTTAGGCTTTACAGAGATCCCCATACATCTTACGTACAAAGGCAGCCGTTTATTTGAGCTTGTTAATTTGGCCACGATTGTTGCCTGGCCGAAATTCGTCTGAACCTGAAGTTGTTTTGTCATTGTGTCATCAAATCATTTTTATCTGTAACAGGTGGTCGCTCGGGATCGAGACCTCCGGGCCCAATTATATTACGAACTGAGTGCCCAAGGAAAGCAATATTTCACTATCAACTCTACTAACGGGGCCATTACAACCATAGGCAACGCTGGTGTGAACTTAGATATCACCTTGCAACCTACACCTTCCACCCTGTTGGACCGCGAAAAAGTGGAGCGAATAGCGTTCGTTGTCTGTGTTAGCGATGGACCACCGCGGTCAGCTTGTGATGCTGATACAGGTTTGGCTACTGCCGTGGACAACACTGCTCCACAAGTGTACACAGCGTCTGCGACGGTGTCCGTCACAGTGCTGGATGTCAATGACAATCGGCCACATTTCATTGAGAAAGGCCCATTCTCTGTGCCAGAAAATCAGCCTCGGTTTACTCAGTTGAATGGGCAATTGGCTGCTATCGACCAGGATGATGGCGACAACAGTCGGGTGAGTAGTTTTCCTTGTACTATCCATTTTAGTTGTCCTACCTATCCATCCCTCCGACTGGCTTCATCTTAACTGTATCCTATTCTCTGACTGTGTGGTAGAAACTACCTGATGTCACCGTGCTCTCCCGACTTCCTACAACTAATCGATTGTTTCTGTCGTTTCGATTGGATTCCAATGTGGGACTGATTGATTGGGTTGCAGCTACATTGCTTTTGGCCGCGCTGGAATTTACCGCATCGTGGTGAAACATCTGTGGTTAAGTGTGATACGGTATTCATGCATCTGTGGTACGTGAGTGACTCGCACAGAGTTCCGTGCTCCAGTACTAGGGCCAGATAGAGAGCCTCCTGACTCAGGTTGTTTTAAGCATGGATGAACTATGAAGGCTGTGGAGGCTCACCTGTGAGTACACTTGGGTGTCGGTGGTGGTGGGGGCCAGGCGTTTGACCTGCAGCCTCAACGCCCAGCGTCCGAATCCATGCTCTCCCCTATGAGTTATCCCACTTGTAGCATCTCAGCCCACTAACAGTTGCATGGCTGTGAATCAGCAAATGAAGTGCTGCTGATAGTTTTTTGTACAGTTCGACCACAAGACCACAGGCTCAGCAGCAAGCCGTTACGTGAACGACAGTGAAGTAAATTGGAACTTTTGCAAAGAAACTGGAATCCGCCCGATAAAGCTCCCTTGGAAGCTACCGAACGAAACAGGAAGTTACTTTCATGCTGAGTGGTAAGAATATGAACTAACTACATAGCTAAACAAATGTGAGGGTAGGTAAGCCACGTTACCGATTGAACGTGCTCAGTCAGCCGAATTTCAACTACCGGATACAATGTACTAGATTCAAATCTCGACGACGTTATCCCCATTCCCTTAGCGATTGCTACTTGCCAGCATGTGGTTGCTGCTTCAACAAGTTTAGTTTTCGTAGCTGCACAAAAATGATCCCTTCTGCTGAATCTTGCAGAGTAACTATACAGCTTCAATTGACATTTAGAGATCAACAATCGAAAACCCCATCTGTCCGGAGGTAGTTAGGCGTTTTCAGGTTGCCGGTCCTTTGTACGGTATCAGCAGTACAGACATTTGGAAAGTTTGGTTTGGCAACTACATTTATGTCCATATAGTAGTCGATCAGCATCATTTTCTTCGGAGTAACTTGGTCTGAAAAGTCTTTTTCACATAGCTTTCTTAACACAAATTGTTGTCACATGCGATAGCAGTGCATTGGTTGCATTCCTTGGAGCACCCGGCCACAGTTATATGAAACGACCGATTTTTATTTAACTAAATGGAAGTGATTGACTACTAGACTTAATCAATATGCACCTACTGGAATAGCACTTCCACTCAAGGTCTGGGGTACCAGGACGTGGGTATTCGGTGAGGCTTGCCGTACATGGCCGGAATACTAACCGCGATGGATTACAATTGTTAATATATGGGATACTGATTGTATTATTCTTCACTAAGCTGCAAACACCAGAGATAATTTTGCATCGACAAAAGCAGAGAGAGCCTTTTGTTAAACGTCTCAAGGAATCTCAAATTCTTCCGAACAATATGATTTTGGGATCAGCACTATTTACTGAGAAAGTGATAGGTGGTTGGTGACCCGTGAAAGATCGTTTACGTCGCAAGACTTATAGATTGTCATTTGATTGGGTACGCACCATTCGGTTGCGAAACAACATCCAGATGCATCGCTGGTTGTAACAGGGAAACGGGTGAACTTGCGCTCATCTAAGATGGACGGAATTTGATGTACCGGGAACCGGTAAGAGTGGTTCCACAATAGTGTCTTTGCAGGTACTAGGACGACCAGCGTTTTGGACTGAAAGTTGCTCATCAGTGATTAAAAATAATTGCTGGGGATTATTGAGATTACATGTAACCCGGATTATGGATGAGGGTGTTGCGTTGTTCTCATATCTAGATATATTAATAACAAGCGATTCTTCACCAATTTCGGCTTAAGCGCTAAGAAAACTTCGTTATTCAGTTGGCGTTTTCATTAGTTAGCTTATGTAACGAAATTATGCCCAGCTTCTTTTCTAGCGTCCGTTTTATGTGGAGTCGCATCCTGAATTTTTGTATAGTTCTCGATTTTGCAGGCGATCTTGTCGGCTGCGCTCCGAGCTTGAACAATCAAACGAAGAAATGTATATTCAACCTCGGATTGTAGTAGACAAGAGTTCCTGCAAAATCGAGAACTACACAAAAATTCAGCAAGTTGAAAAGAAGCTGGGCATAATTTCGTTACATAAGCTAACTAATGAAAACGCCAACTGAATAACGAAGTTTTCTTAGCGCTTAAGCCGAAATTGGTGAAGAATCGCTTGTTATTAATATATCTAGATATGAGAACAACGCAACACCCTCATCCATAATCCGGGTTACATGTAATCTCAATAATCCCCAGCAATTATTTTTAATCACTGATGAGCAACTTTCAGTCCAAAACGCTGGTCGTCCTAGTACCTGCAAAGACACTATTGTGGAACCACTCTTACCGGTTCCCGGTACATCAAATTCCGTCCATCTTAGATGAGCGCAAGTTCACCCGTTTCCCTGTTACAACCAGCGATGCATCTGGATGTTGTTTCGCAACCGAATGGTGCGTACCCAATCAAATGACAATCCATAAGTCTTGCGACGTAAACGATCTTTCACGGGTCCCCAACCACCTATAACTTTCTCAGTAAATAGTGCTGATCCCAAAATCATATTGTTCGGAAGAATTTGAGATTCCTTGAGACGTTTAACAAAAGGCTCTCTCTGCTTTTGTCGATGCAAAATTATCTCTGGTGTTTGCAGCTTAGTGAAGAATAATACAATCAGTATCCCATATATTAACAATTGTAATCCATCGCGGTTAGTATTCCGGCCATGTACGGCAATCATCACCGACTACCCTGAGGGAGTTGTCAACGAACAGTTATCTGAGCACACCGAAAAATGCAGATGTGCGGGCATACGCAAACATTCGATTTGTCTGGAAAATGTGGATAAGCGAAATGGCCTAAAACTACGCAAGCTGGTTGTTCATGGGTTCATGTGCGTGACCACCCCTTTAGCGTTCAACGTGTTCTCACTCTTTTGATGCTGTCCACATCCACGTGCAACAGGCGACTGCCTTGCCCCGTAGTATTCATCGGTACAGAAAAACGTGTTCATTGGAGTCTGTCAAGCCCTCTTTGGGTTACTTGTTCAATATACATATAAATATATATAGCTGGAATCGAACGTTGAATTTGAGATGTACAGCACAATCAGAAGATTCGTTATACTGATGAACTAATTTGCTCACTTGCGACTTAGTGATTCAAAATCAGATCGATGTGTACCTAAGCACCTGCGTTTTTCAATGGTAGTTATCAAACACTCAACTACGACTTGAGGGATACGGACGTCATTAATTGTAGTCCGAAAAATATTTAAGAGTCCCAAAGCAAAGACATATATACAATTGGTAGGTACTGGGAGTCAACCATATTGAAGGTCTGGGGACACCGTTAACCCCTCGAAATGTTTGGGAATGTCGCTGAAAACGAATCATGGCTATGGGGCACCTGATTCAAAAAGGACCTATTTTTTCCATTCTCGCAGTGGAAGCAGTTCCAACCAAATCCAATATATCGCAGCCAGATTCAAATTAGTTAAACCTAGGAAGTAACTGTGCAGGAAGCAAGAACTCATACAATGCGACTGCCAAATTATTACAAATTTCGGCTTCTTTTTGAACACCTGTTGTATGGACCAACGCACAAACAATAAGTCGATCGATTTGTATGTGAATAGTTCTTTCAGCAAACATCCTCGTTTTGCCCCGATGGAATCGAAGCATAACTAGGTTACCGAAGATCCATCCAGCATATTCCACATACGTGAACAGACGTGTAGAAATGGGAAAGCTTATCCGGATAGTCAGAATATCGTAGAGCACTAAGATCTGAGTGACCTGCATTCCGCGAGAGGCTATTTTGTTGCCAGACGTAGGATTCCAGGAGAATGTGCCCGTGATTTGTCAAATGAAGCATGAACATTTTCGTTGGAAAATATGGCGAACGGCTAGGCAACTTAGATTTAGAGGATTCGTAGTGCAAAATTGCAACATGTATATATGTGTTTTATCGAAGTGGTGAACCGGAGCTTGGGAATGTTTGGATAGGGCCAAGTCATTTCTTCAACTGAATGGGACATGTGAATTGGAAAAGAGAATCTGTTCCATGCGGCACGGTAATGGAGGATAAGACATACAATATCGCTGCTGATGTGCAAATTATGACGGTCCGGATCTGTCCTCCGTGAGTCAGTGACATCAGCTGCTGACTGGCCATGCGCGCAGTTGGTGGTCATGCGTTCGAATCCTGATGGACCGATGGGCGTGTATTACTGAATATGCCAAACAGGCGGAAACTGCAGTCTAGTGCTTTTCTGGAGATGTGGATGACAAGCTGATTTGGAACTGGCCGCGACGAACCAACAATTTCTTCTTTTGTTGGTATATATTTTGTTGCATGTTGTGCCATCAGTTGTGTTCATCAGGGATAATCGTATATATATTTTGTCGTCTAGGTGATTCAGGGATTTTCTGACAGCCTTGAATATAACGGCGGCAATGGTCCCCGATCAGGATTATTTATTGCTGAGTATTCACCTTCTTTACGAAAGCTCATAGCTCTCTGATTTTCAAGCAACAAAAAACATGTAAGCTCTCCATATGTCCACTCTTCTCATGGGCGCGTAAGCGGTAACAACAATTATCAAGATAATCGGATGGAAGAAAAATTATAATCTGTCTTATAAGTATTAATAAGACGTATTCCAGGAAAGGACTCAATTCCCGTAATAGGTTAACTGTGTTTTAAGCGATGCATGGCATAGATTCTCTTTTGCAATCCACATGTCCCATTCAGTTGAAGAAATGACTTGGCCCTATCCAAACATTCCCAAGCTCCGGTTCACCATTTCGATAAAACACATATATACATGTTGCAATTTTGCACTACGAATCCTCTAAATCTAAGTTGCCTAGCAGTTCGCCATATTTTCCAACGAAAATGTTCATGCTTCATTTGACAAATCACGGGCACATTCTCCTGGAATCCTACGTCTGGCAACAAAATAGCCTCTCGCGGAATGCAGGTCACTCAGATCTTAGTGCTCTACGATATTCTGACTATCCGGATAAGCTTTCCCATTTCTACACGTCTGTTCACGTACGTGGAATATGCTGGATGGATCTTCGGTAACCTAGTTATGCTTCGATTCCATCGGGGCAAAACGGTGATGTTTGCTGAAAGAACTATTCACATACAAATCGGTCGATTTATGGTTTATGCGCTGGTCCATACGACAGGTGTTCATAAGAAACCGAACTTTTGTACTAATGTGGCAACCGGGAGAGACAGCGCGCTGCGGCTACTGTGCGCATGCGTACGCTTGTTTGGACAACAAAATGCCAATTGCCACATTTTGCTCTGACTGCTGTTTGGTGAGCTACAACCGCTGAAGTGAACTCATGCACAAGCTGTTCGTCGGATTAGTACCCATGAGACAATGAAAGAGCTTTAATACCAACCTGTGTGCGCGTAAACTCTTGCTGCCAACTTGGCAAAACTTTTACAGAGACATTTCAATTGCTTAGATAAGCACACAGGGAGGAGTGCGAGTCCTATGCAGTGCTATGAGTGGTTTAAGTGTTTTGAACACGGCACACTGTCGGCCGGTGATGATCTCAAGCCTGGACGACCTTCACATTAAAAATAATACCACTTCGACAGAATTCTTGTTGTGATCCGTTTAAATCATGGTCTAACTGTTCGAAAATTGCTGACAAAGTGGGCTTCTGTGTAGGAACATACCAGAAAAATCTAGTGCGATTGTGCGATGCTGTGCGCAGGAAGAGGCATGGAAGAATGTGGGAAAACCAGACTTGGATGCTGCATCATGACAGTGCATCGGCTCACGCATCCCTCCTTGTCCACAGATATATAGGACTATCACACGCGCGCTGTACGCTATCCGCTTTATGCTCTGGACCTAGCCACTGCAGACTTTTTCTCGTTTCCCAAACTTAGAATCACGTTGATGGGACGTCGTTTACAAGCTATCGTGGAGATTCAGGACAATGCGACAGGAGACCGGCCCACATCCTAGAAAGTGCGTTTCAGGAGGCTTTCTCATAATGAAAATACCGTTGGGAACGGTGTACTGCTAGTAGCGAGGACGTACTTTGAGGGGCAATGTGATCAGCTGTTGCGCAATAAGTAAGAATGATAGCAAAAGTTCGGTTTGCTTTTGAACACCCTTCGTATGTAAAACAACCAGCTAGTCTATAGGAAAACAACGTTAGCCTTATCTTTCGCATCTTCTTCCACTTGAGTGGTCTGCTTCACTGCATGAACAGGATCAGTCAACTCCAAACTCGGGATTATTCGCTTTGCTTGGTGCAATGCGAATCTTCCCTATCAGCGTGATAGACATAATTTGCGCACCCTTGCCTGTCACGTCAGCATGTACAGCGACACCGCAGGCTGATTTCAAAACGTGCGCAAAACAGCGCATTAGAATTTCAGCGACACCACAGTCATTCACTTTGATGTTGTCCTGGGTGTGCGTAAATAAGGAAACTATATCACACTTACAATTTGTCAGTAATGATCACTTCCCAAGCTGATCCTTTCCAGTTGGTTAGGATGAGATATTCGGCAACACGTTTCAGAGAATTATAGACTGAAGTTATAAAAAAACAGTAAATTTCTCAGAGCTTTACAACATGAAAAACCGCTGTACCATCACAATTGAACACCAAGAGTTAAGTGTTCATCGATAGCTTAAGCTGGTGGCATTCATCTAAGTTTGGCTTCGGCCACATTGAGGTCATTCACCGTGCATTGTTGCTCACACACATGAGTCTACAGCATCCTCTATGGAATCCCAACTGAACAAGCTCTTAGCGGTCTCCCGTCTGTTTAGTCGATTTTAACTGTAGCCTTTCACAGTGCTCGAGGTTGGTGTACCCGTTGTTCCGCATCGCCTCTTGTTTGAATCGGTCGAAGCAGGTCCACGGGTACGTGCCCGTTTGCAAAGCTCTCATTCACCATATTAGAGTGGCAGTTCATGTTATTCGTCTCTAGCCCATGTATACAACACTCCCTTGCTCAATCTTTCAATGAATGTTCAGTTATGTTCATGGAAGTTACACTGGTTCACTGTTTTCTCTCACTTTAGATCTGTTAGACCGCTGAAAGTGAATATGCACTTAATTTTCAACCTAATTGTGTGGGCCGATTCTTGAAATTAACTCCAGTCAGCTTGTTGTTATTGATTTGTTCAGAGCATGACATCTCTGTAATTCGATGTATAATGCCACGAATTTCTGTGACCCATTCACTGGCATAGCGACAATGTTTGTAGTCCGTTCGTCGATACATCTGGGAATAAATGATCTAACCATACGTTTCTGCTCACTGTTTCTGTACTCCCATTTCTCAGCTAGCATACTTATAACACAACTCGTGTGCACATCATAGGGTTAAAAGCACTAAATTCTTTTTGGATTGCTTATTTAAGGAGAGAGCCACAGGACATATAGTAAGTAAATTTCCCGTTCTGCTCTAGATCTGCGTTGTTTCGACCACACCTTGGAAATCATGTAAAAGTTTTCTATTTGACTTGTTGAAAAACTTTCTGTTTGAGCGACAGATAACATAAGTGAAAATCCACCTTGATACTGAGTTCTTTTCCTTCGTTATCTGTAGATCAGTCCTGGTGGGAGGCGGGTAACAGCTGATTGATCCACCTGAACCCGTTCGTGTTTAATGCAATATACTCGATATTTGTGAGGTTTGCTGAACCCTATGCAACTGTCTCTGTTAGGTGTGTTGTATTTCGGTAATTGCACTTTGCCATTCTCCGCCAATTCGATCAATGGAATGTTGTTGCCTAGCTTGTGCTGTCACAGAGAAATAAACCAGTCAGTCAGGAGTGCTACCTGATACCACTTTCCACATTCCCTGCGGGCATTAGGGAGAGAATTCTGTTTTCACGTTTGTGGTAGCGACGCTTTCCTTAACATGAAGGTACATTCGGGTTTTGTACCGGACTCCCACATATGTTTTATCATCAGTATTGAGTGCAATCGTTTCTCTGAGCTGGGCGACATAATTGACCGTCTCAGGGAACCAGTTGACACCCCCACCGGATAAATCGAGCTACAGATATTCCGAATTACAGTCACATTGTATAAGTTCTTGTTTCCTGCACAGTTACTTCCTGGGTTTAACTAATTTGAATCTGGCTGCGATATATTGGATCTGGTTGGAACTGCTTCCACTGCGAGAATGGAAAAAATAGGTCCTTTTTGAATCAGGTGCCCCATAGCCATGATTCGTTTTCAGCGACATTCCCAAACATTTCGAGGGGTTAACGGTGTCCCCAGACCTTCAATATGGTTGACTCCCAGTACCTACCAATTGTGTCTTTGGAACTCTTAAACATTTTTCGGACTACAATTAATGACGTCCGTATCCCTCACGTCGTAGTTGAGTGTTTGATAACTACCATTGAAAAACGCAGGTGCTTAGGTACACATCGATCTGATTTTGAATCACTAAGTCGCAAGTGAGCAACTTAGTTCATCAGTATAACGAATCTTCTGATTGTGCTGTACATCTCAAATTCAACGTTCGATTCCAGCTATATATATTTATATGTATATTGAACAAGTAACCCAAACTACGCTTGACAGACTCCAATGAACACGTTTTTCTGTACCGATGAATACTACGGGGCAAGGCAGTCGCCTGTTGCACGTGGATGTGGACAGCATCAAAAGAGTGAGAACACGTTGAACGCTAAAGAGGTCGTCACGCACATGAACCCATGAATATCCCGATTGCGTAGTTTTAGACCATTTCGCTTATCCACATTTTCCAGACAAATCGAATGTTTGCGTATGCCCGCACATCTGCATTTTTCGGTGTGCTCAGATAACTATTCTTTGACTCCTCCTTCAGGCAAAAAGTTTGTATTTTTAAAAAATAAGCTCATCTGCGCAGTTAATGTTATTTTTAAATGCTTTTCTCTCTCTGCCCCCGTGACATTAGTCTTGGGCAGGCACGTTTACCGTTCTTCATTCTATGTGCTTCCTTTTTACTTAGCCATGCATCCAATGCACAGCCTTTTATTTTTAATATGTTCTACTGTTTCATAATTTCGCTGTCGGATATCTCTTTCTTTATTACCCTCACGCTGCGGCATTCTTTAAACCTTCTGTTCCTTGTATCTGTTGTTGTGCTTAATCACCTTTCTCTTCAGTCTTTCACCCATGACTACCTTGTACTTGTCGATCACTTATCATAATATGGGCACTTGGGCGCAGGCGTGCCTATCGTATCGCATTGTCAGAGGATGTAAACAACCCAGCTGTCTTTCATCAGATCTCCGCGGAATAACGTTAGTTATCCGACAGTTTTGTATATGCTTTACATAAGTGCCATTCACTTCCACATTTGTCTGCTTAGTTTGCTTGATTCTTTCCAGTGGAGTATACTCTATTTCCTCCACGGATAACCCAATTTCGACGTTCCGCTGCTACAAATATTTCTTTCCATCACGCGTCGTCTTCACTAAACGAAATCCACAATTCGTTCGTTAATACACAGGTACGGTACAGCCTACGCCAAGTGTGGATAAGCGCCAGCGGCATGCCTGCTCCGGATTTATTTCAGGTAGATGCCGATGGTCACATTCAGACCCTGGAATTATTGGATCGGGAGACGGTAAACGCCTACATTCTGGAACTAGTGGCCTGCGACTCTGCACCGCAGACCCCATTGTGCGCGAGCTTTAACGCAACAGTATCCGTGTTGGACGAGAATGACAATAAACCTGAATGGCGATACCCTCATGACGAAGATAAAGAAGTTAATATCACTGCCGACTTACCCCCTGGACATATCATTGCCCGCGTTCATGCAGGTGATAGAGATACGGGTGCCAACGGTCGTATCCTCTACTCTCTCATTGACCCACACAAACGAACAGTGTTTCAGGTAAGCATGCTCGTCTTTATGGAGCCACCGTAGACCACATGAAATAGCAAACACTTGAGCTGTTTACAAACATGTTTGCGTGAGTTATACCGTAACTGCCGCCGCTGAATGTACAACTCTTCCGTTTCTTTGCTCGTGTATTCTCATTATCGCTATTGTTACTGTGTGAGTGGCATTAAATGCGGTTTCTATTTTCCGGGAAAGGTCGATAAAACTATCGCACCGGCTGATTAATTCCCGTGGCCTACAGATATTCTCCCATAACTTAGTTACAGTTGAACGAGCAGGAACTCACAGTAGTCGAGTTTCACAGCGGCTGCTTAGGTGAGTTCTGTCCTAACTCTCCGGATACACCGTAAGTTTCTACCCGCAAAATCTTATGCAAGCGTGTACACGATGCTGAAAACAAATTTTTCAATGGACTTATAAATACAGTTCAACTGTCAATCCAGTCTATTCAATGCAGTCTGTTGCTGTTGTTTTGACATTGCAGTTTGGATCTCCAGCTGCTCCGTCATTTTGTTCGGATGTACGCATATTTCCTGAGACGGAATATCCTTACAGGGGATTTTAAGTTTCGCCGCCATTCTGTTTCTGGGTTCCCATCGTACTCCATCCTTACGATTCATATCATGGTCTACTGTTAGCTTCTAACTTAAAGGGGCTGAACGCAGAGGATATTCAACACGCCGCAAATTAAACCAAACTGAACACCAATGTTTCAACTTCCTCTTCACTGAACATTACGTTTTGGCACCAAATCCGCCCCGGTTGGCGTACACTTCTCAGATAAATACACCTATACTTTTGTGAGGTCCATCGCAGCCAGTTTCCAAATCAGATAGTCGTCCACATGCCCGGAAAAGCACTAGACTGCAGTTTCAACCTGTTGGGCATCGTCAGTAGTGCGCATCCATCGGATCTGTCAGGATTTGGAAACTGGCTGCGATGGACCTCACATAATTACATCAACATCCCCTACCCATGAGTATTCCTATATTTTGTACCGACCAGGGCAACCATGGGGATTATGGGCAGCCCATTTTGTTCAAAGATCACGAATGTCGCTTGTGTCCTCTGGAGGCGAGCACGTGATACCAACCCAATATCGAAAACACTACTAAACTACGAACTTGTTCTCCTAGTTTGGTCCGCTACCGATGATGACCCTAATTCCCGTCAGATCACTCGCATCACCACTATTCGATGCGTTTTGGTTTAAGCATAGCCCTTATATATGGGCTTTTCAGGCATACTTGTGTTTCCTCAGTCGCTTTTCTGCACTTCGCATCTTCCGAGAAACTCAGATTGTCCGATAGTGTTAAGATTGCACACTGCAATTAGTATCGTCCAAGTAATTCAATTTCTCGCTCAAATCATTAGAGGCACTGAACACTACTCAGTGTTTTACATACTGAGCATTTCACACTACCTTCCGATGAGTCTTGATTGCACATGTTACCAGAGTGTACGGTATGCAGCGTGCGCGTTAGCTGTCGTCGTCTGAATGGCCATACCTGTTATTCGTGGGTAGGAAATTTTTGACGTAGCTAACTGAGAGTCCGTCGCACTTGGTTCCAAATCAGCTAGTCTTCTACATAGCTGGAAAAGCACTAGCCTGTAGCTTAAACCTTTTGGGCATCATAAGTAGTGCACATCACAATTACTTGCATCTAAACTCCCACTCATGAATACATCAAAATAACTGCCCTAACAGTTTATCATTGCTGTCGCACATACCTACTGTCAGTGAACGCCGTGTCTTTCGGGCCAAAGCTGTCCTCTGTAACGTTCGTACCTTGCGTGGCTGTGTAAGATAAGACGTGCTATATGGCAACTGACTTGTAAATGATGACGGTCCGAAACTGTCCCCCTTAGCCTAGTAGCATAAGGTGCTGACTGGCGTTACAAGGGGAATGATGGTCATGTTTCGAATCCTAATGGATCCGATGGATGTGCACTACTGATGATGCCCAACTGGCTGAACCTGCAGTCTAGGGATTTTCCGTGCACGTAGACCTCCAGCTGGCTTGGAACTGCCTGCGCAGATTTCTCAATTAGTTCTCTGCTATTTGGAGGCCTTTCGCCAGTGACTCAAGGTAAGAGGTCTTCAGCTGCGGTAGCAGTAAAAACCCGTACCTTTTTTGCAAGTTTTTTGGTCCTGCCCGTTATCGCGTACATGCTCACTCAGCTTCACGATAGAACTGCATCCGCTGTATCGCATTCTTTGTTGCTGACATCAACCATTTTATTAATATGCCAGCAAATCGTGATAACAATATGAGTACAGATGCAATCCTGTGTCTATGAAGTGGCTGATAAAGTGATATATGCTAAACCCTTAAGACTTTTGTTAATGTATCAGATATCTTTTAGGTTTTTAATGTTACTAGCTTAGCAACTCTTCATATTCCAAACTTAATATTCGACACTGGTTGCTCTAAGCTGCAATGTCAAGTATCTCTGAAAGCGCAAAGATTTCTAAGGGGCAGTTCGTCGGTAATCTTGTCAAGGACGAGCAGATACCGCGGCTCATGCTTTAGGCGCTTGATGCAGAGATGATACTAGGGTTACACTAGTATATGTGTAAAGTACAAAACCACATATTTGCCGTTTGGTTAGTAACAATGGACGGGCGCCAAACATTATCATCTTTGTTGATTCCGCCCGTATGTACATTAAAACTTTTGCATCTAGCTGGGGTTGGTGGCTGCATCAGTTGACTCCTGGTGACACCAATATTACTGCATTAATTGTATCGACTAACCACGTTGTGGACAGCACAACTTGCATTTCTCTCACAACACAAGCATCTGAACTTTGACAACACTGAAGTTTGCTGCCAATGTTGTCAATTGTGTGGAGATTTTGGATGTGTGTCCGGGTTAGCTCGCATGTTCTTACTTTGATGACTAACAGAACTCAGTGCATATTTTTTCCGCTGCCAAGCTTTTACATGCAAAAATAGCACAATGATTCATATTCCTTTTTATAGTGTTGTTTCTGTTTTAAGATTAATTAGCTCAACCATTGTGCTTTGGTCGATGCAGGTGGAATTATTTTGCTAATCAGCCTTACTTGTCCTCCACTGCACCGATATGCTTAACTAATGACACGCAGTTGTGCGCATCGGATTGTTAAACAGTAGCACAACGCACACTGAAGTTGTTAATTTCCAGTCTTCTTTTCTGGGGCAACGAGAACGGATGACATTGTGTAGGCCTGGGCGACATTTTAACAGATTACAGCCTCAGAATGGTATCTTCTCGGCTGGCTTGATATGAAGCGCTCTGACTGACTGCACACAATACACGGCTGATTAAAGGTAATAGAAAGTTGACTATCCACGGGAACATAAAATGAAGTCAACTGTGTCCGAATACTTGACGAACATATTGCATCAGACCACTTTCATAGGATTACAACGACGAAGCGTTGGTATTCTCGCCATAACGAGCCTACTGCCCGCCGATTCGTAATATTTTTTGATCTACCGGGCATCTACCACCAATCAACTATACCTTTCGCCTTGCCATAAGGAAGTAGATTAACCGCGTCAATCGAATCTCATTTCTTAGTGGGCACTGGGTTTCACTCGAATCCTCAAACCTCGGGCTTCGGGAAACATCGACGAATCGTAATCAGGCTATTCGGTTTCACAGATGCAAAACGTCGCCAAAGCCTAGATTAAATATACCGAAAAGATGATGGACCGACAACGAGTTAGGTTGCATTTGTTCTTCGTTCAATCGTCTAAAGTGCCATCATTCTATCGCTCCTTTTTAAGCTTAATTTTGTCCATTACATCTATCTGAGAACATTTATAATGATGCAACTGAGACTACTCTGGTGAACACCAAGCAAACATGTGCGACTTTACGTAATATTTTATGTCCGTTGTGGCAACGATGTGCTTGGTACGCACGCGCTCTCCCCTTTCGGACTGTGTAGCCCTGGCTATGTTTTTCTCAAGGTCGTATTAAGCTTAGGCGTCGGCGCATAACTTCCGGCTGTGGTTTGGTTCGACCTCGCTGCAACACATCTTGCCTAACTTGAGACAGCAGCAGCTCCGTTTTCCGAGACCAGTCTGCGTTCCGCTTTCTAGATCCCTACGATTGTGGTGCCCCGTCCTTCGTGGTGTTTGCCGAGCCCCGTCCGCAATCTGCCGGCTTCTGTGCTTCCGTTTCGTTCAAGCCGCAACATAGAAAAATAATTTTCAATCCACTTTTTGATGAGCTAATACCAGGGGCGGCTTGTTACTCCAATCTAACAATGGTCGAACAAGCCTTAAGAAGAGGCTTGCAACACTTGAATCACATTCCCTCACTCTTCGGCTTCCGGCCAAAATAGCATATGATTATGTTTGGATAATATCTTGAAAACAGGATTGGACATCTAAGGTAATTAGCGCCTTTTCCAAAATTTACGTTGCCTCGGATAATATGGGACCGCGGCTGGGGTTCCATTTGAGATAACCAAATCTACCATCTTTCGGAGCTGTGGGACCCTCCTTATAGATTAACTGATATCCAACTAACTCGGAATGTAAAACGTGGTGTCCACATAAAAGGAGTATTCACCACTGTTCTTGATATATAATAGGCTCTTATCCCATATCACGTGCAGGCTCATCGTTACTGGATTAGGTGTTTCAGCCTCATGTAAAAGTAGCGTGTTGCTATTAGCGAATCTCGCTTGCCATTCCTTTACTGTCGGTTGGAAAGCGATTTCCCCTAACTCGCAATCTATAATAACCATCCAGCATGCGGATAAGTTTATTTGTTTGTTAGCTTTTCTTTAATGGCTACCACCAATGTCCAGCCAACCTGCCTTATATTTCTAACTGACAAGTATGTTGATTAGGTCACATACTAGGAGATTAGGGCCATGCTAGCTGCAATTTAATTTTCCAGTTAAGCATTGCCTAAACTTACCGCGACCATAAGTACGACAGTTGTCAGTACGTTTGTGTCTGATCATCTGAAATCATGTGGAAAATGTGCCAATTTTGCTAAACATCCCAAGTGGCTTATTGCTGGCAACTTATCTGAATTTGCACTTAAAAGTCGAAGTTCTAGAAGCAAAAATGCACAATTGTCTCAATTGTGCATTGTGGTCTATTTCTCGTCGCGTATTATTCGTGTTATTTTTCATACTATAAGCTTGATTTTCCTGCGCTTTTTGTGATATATGGACGAAAGTAAGCAATCATATCATTTGTTGTTCTTCGTGTCTCATGTCTCAGCGCAACCGCTTTCGCATCAGTAGTGCGCTTTTATAATGCCGCAATGCCCATTTATTCAGAGTGAAAACCTATGCTACTAACTTAAATTGAGCATCTCTTTCTGAACCCTAAAGCTGATCATTTGCCAATCATTATTTTAAAAGTAATACTAATTTGTAAATGATAGCTAATCAAACTGCTCCTTGTTACACACTCGTTGAAGTGGTGTTTAACCTCGCCCATTGTTCAGGTTTATGCACACGAAAATTACTTTCCTACCATGCTTAATGTTGGTATCTAACGGTTAGATGCTAAACGGTTTGGGTCAGAGGTGTCAAACGTTTAAACTCAAAGCTTCGACTGTCCTGAGGACCCCGCCGCTTCCTATGCTCAGGTTTTTCAACTTGGATCTGTCAGTGGCTTACGAGATTCTGCACTGAGGATGTTGCTTAGTTTGGCAACCAAACGTCTACAGCAAACTGCCTAGCTCGGAGAACACACCAATTCTCTCACAATTTTTTTTATTTGCTCTGATTTTCAAAACACCTAACTTACCTTACATGGTTGGTGGCATCAAGTTCCGGATTTGCTTGTCACTGTGGTCTCCACAGGGACAGCCACAGGACGCCTGCGCCTACAGAGGCACCGTGGGTGGCTTACGCTGCACCACCCACGACTCCATGTAAACACCCCAAATCCAGTGTAAACCCGAAACGATATGACACACATTACGTAGGATAATACTAAATCATATGAGTTACACCAAGTGTCTGTGGGTTCTCAGAATAGAATTAGTTGCGTATAACTAAATAAATATATATGGTATTTCTCCACAACGGTCCAGCTTGTGAGAACCAATCAAAGTTGGTAATTTGCTTCCCCTTTAAGTGCACTTGCAATTATTGGCCCACACTGCTTACCGATTGCCATTTCTGCAACATTCTCCAGGTGGATAACAAAACTGGGGACGTGGCCGTCGCGGAAGATCCAACACACAATCAAGGCCCTTTGGATCTTGGAGCGGTCGTCACACCGCGGTTGCATAGGCCTAGTCCATTGTTGCCTGGAATCTATCGCCTGCGACTACGGGCTTCGGACCAAGGACACCCTCCCCAAATGACGGAGACATGGCTGCAGGTAAAAAGTACATGAATCTCCTTTTTCACTTAATCCGTCTTTAACCCGCTACGACAAGTAATCAAATTTCGCATGGGCTATTAATTGGATATGTTAACCGCCGCTGAACACGCATCTACTGTCACCAGATACTAGTCAACCAATTTATCTACTCCCGCCACGAACAGCGCTGCCTTCCAGGTGATGGCACTTGTGATGTTGATGTGTTCATCCTTCACAAGCTCACAAGCGCAAATGTGTAGGCTGAGCAATTCAATTTATCAAAATAATTAAGCTTGACGGCACATTCACTGATGGCAGTTACCACAGACCGATGAGTGGACTGTTTCTCCAGTGAAGGTTACTTTCTGTTAAGCCCCATTGCCAGTGTTTCTACTTGCGTTGTCGGAATTGCCGAACTCCTGGATTGCTCGTGTGAGCAGTTTTTCAGGTTACTGTAAACTTTTTTCTTTCCGTAATACTCGCTATACTGATTGATCCGGCAACTCCATTTTAAGCTTGAAGTGGATGTGGGTTCCTATCTGGGACAATGTTAAAATTTCCTTTAATCGAGATGCTCTCAGCTGCCTTAAGGAAGCATTCGTAAACAAATTGCACGTTAATAACAGACTAGTAATACGACCCGATCGGTTCGACAATTCACATCGTCCAAGCCAGTTTGTTAATCTGTCTGATCCCTACCATAGTTTGACTGGAGAAAGCAGACCCACATACACGCTCATCAGTTTGCGTATGATTTGGTTCTAATCTATCGAATTCTAGCTATGTGAACTCAGTTGGGCCAATGACTGATTGCTATTTGTAAGGGTATCATCAGATTAGAGTGACATGATGATGCTCCACCCTGCGCCTTATACAAACTATCAGTTATTCGCCTGTTACTTTGACCTGTACAACTAACCGGACTGCAGGTTTCGTCTCAGTTCTACCGAATGCGCTAAATCATGATTTCTATCTCAACATCGTCCACTCATCTCCTTCAGGAAGAGCGCTAGATACTTAAGTATCCATAAAATATCACAAATTACAGATTGGTAACTGTTGTGGATATACGTGACGCATTTTGGCCCCATCGCTTTTCTTTTTGATGCGTGTTTACGAATCGAATTCCGTTGATCACTGGAATTTGTCCTATGTGTGTTCGATCATATATCATGGGCAGTGTGCAGTGTAGGGAACATTCATCTGGATGCCCGTTAAATACGGATGTGTGAACTGTGCAAGCCTGTGCTTCACTTTTTCCTTCAAAATTAGCATCACCGTAGTCATCTGAGATCAGTTGAATATATCTCGCACTCAGTCGGTTAAAGGCGCCGGAATTACATAGCAGCCCTTCCGATGTCTGGAACCTGGAGTGGTCCACTACTTCCCCTTTCTGGATGGTCTATGAACCCAGTCTCTCACTAGCGACTTCAGCCAGGTAGCATTGGGCATAATGCATTGGTTACCTTTCACATTACTTAAAGTGATAATGTGACTTGGATTTTTCTGGTGCAGGAATTGTTTCAGAGAAGTAAAACTACATTGCAACGTGGTGCACAGTGTTCGTCTCGCACAACTCCACTTGAAAATCTGGTTAATAGTTTTCCCTGTGGTTTTCTTCGGATTCATAAATCCCGTGTATAACCGACATTTTCTAAGTGCGTGTTTTAGACACCATTGATGACAATGCATGAATAATGGCCTTGCAAATATTCCTAATTCGATAGGCATTTGAGGGATCGAAATAATGAACATTATGGTTAGTGAGCTGTCCAGCTTCACACAGCGGGCCAAACAGATGTAGATTTATATGGTTCTGGTAAGCAGCTAAGTTACTTGTTAGCGCTCTACTTTAAACGTGATGCGAACGACTAAACTCAACGACTAAACTCCAAGCGGTGGGCTAATTGCCTTCGTCTATCCTCTGGCTAGCTTTGACTTACATATGTTTCGAAATGAAAGTTGATCTTTTGTTTAGTGTAAATAAGCAAATTCAGGCTGAAATGCCGCAGTTCGTCCCAGTGCTAGGGTATGTCACATATTTAGGTAAAGTTGCGGTGTCCAGACGTGACTGAAACTAGTGCATTGGTTTGCGTATCTCCATGACTCATTGATCTACGCTAGGTAAAAATTTCAGGTGACTTCAGAGCCGTTCATATAGGACAGATCAGTGGTTAGTGGTTAGATCAACTCATTCGCTGCATTATCTTCTGGGGGTTGGGGAGAAATCGTTCGGCCTGCTTCCTTTAACACTTATTCATGGGAGAAGAAACTATATCGGTTCAAAACCCATGGACATGTTGGCCTAGATTACGGGTGCCACTCCTTGTCTCTGACGATGGGAGAGTAAGGCCGATTGCTTAAATTTTCGTTGGCGCCAGCCTCGAATAAACAGTCCCTGGTCAAATGTATGTAAACCAGCCGACTCCCACCTGCGGTTGGCCGTGTTCACATGTGTGTAACACACTATCATAAAAGACGCAACAATCAAACGGCAGTAACAAACCTCATTATATCTCAGCACTGATTTGTGCTCTGTTTCCGAAATACGCAGACAAGATACCAGTTCGTAACGAGGCTTCAGCTCCCTGAATCCGAATCTGCCAACAATGGGGATATTAAGTCAGCGTATTTCGAATGTCGGCATTTCTCTAACCAGACACGCGCATGGCGAGCAACTAGAATGGATGAGAGTAAACAGTCACGTATGTACGATTCGCAGCCCCATGCTGAGGCTGATGTTGCATTCACGATGCTACTTCATCACAATTGTGCTAAAATAACTTACACTTAAACTACGTCGTTTTAAGCCGCATGTATTGCATTCCACTTTTTGCTCTGTTCTGCCTACCTAAAATAATTTTCCAATAACTTGCACTCGTTGCTTACGCTAATTGTGGCTATATTTGTGAACTTGATCGACTTCGTAGCATTAGTTGAATAATCTGTGGACATTTTGTACTTATCGCGGATTCGTTGCTAACCAACATACTTCATATGCTAGTTTAGCGAACAGTTATGTCTGCATAGCCGTATGCTTTAACAGATATACTTTATTTGATAATGTTAATTCAAGAGATTGGCTGTTGTTTGACATCCCCGATGTGGCTGCGCTTTATGTGCATGTTAACAAGGTGCCTACCTGTCTATTACCCACTACCTCGTCCAGACAGGCTCCAGGAGACAATTCGTCGTTGCTGGATGGGAAGGGGTGCATGGTCCTTGTGGCCGTGCTAGACTCGAAGAGTGGTTCCATGCACTCGTTGTGGAGCGGACTACGGTCCACTCACCGCGTTGTGTGCGACTGATTCCCCAAATACAGCGTGCTTGTGTTTGCCTGTGAAGGATTGTGGGTCGGCTTCTTTGATGAAACGTGGCTCCAATCCACATGCCTCCCGGTCTTATTCATTCGGGTTTCCACTGGATATGTGGTGTGTGGTTGGAGGTGTGGGTGTCGCAGCGCAAGCCAGCCGTGGTCCGTCTGTAGGTGCAGGCGTCCTGTGGCTGGCCACAGTGACAGGTAAATCCGAAACCGGATGCCGCCAACCATGTACGATCCGAATTCAAACATCTTTAGGAGTTGATAAACAATGACAAAATTGTGCCTTTTTACGGCTTCCGTTTTTGCGTAAATCAAGCGAAGTTCAAAGGACCAGAGCAATTCTGTCGTCAGCTCTGAACTCTTATCTTTTGGCGAAAAATACTGATGTGCTTCTTCGTAGTGACATATATGCCTAAGTAAGTCGACTACCTGATTCCAAAAAACACCTGGGTGGCTGTTTCGTGGTCGGTGCATGCTGAACAGACGATGGTGATCAACCTCTGCAACTGTATGCTGATCACATTCATTATGTTCGCAGCACTGCTTTCCAGCACAAAGTTCACATCCTCTCACATGACACCCACCAAATTCTTCCATGATCTGGATCCAGATTGACCACATACCCAACAGTTAAGGATGGCGCACATCGGTTAAAAGCCGTCTGTCAATTTGGGATACGTGCTTGTATTCTGACCATGCCCTAGTGCCCGCACGCACTTGTCCTCGCTCGCAACACGGATTCACTTCCTTTTGCGCAATAATATTACGATAAAATGGCCCACCTGTTATCAATGAAGACTGAGTTGAATGGGCCCAACGCCGGCTTGATTGGTCACAATTTTTTTCTGAATAGCTCTTTTGGCTCACGCCATATGTTTAGTTTAAATAGTTCGAACTGTGAATAGTGCTTTGCTTATCTTGATATTAGTATGAAAACACGTTTCATCGGATATCGCGTTTCACCGTGTACGGAAAGTTCTGAAACGACGAATGGCAGGCTATCTGAGAACACATGGGATATGTGGAAAGACAATACTATTGAGAACAAACTAATTATGTACCCGGTCAACCGGAACATGGACCCAAAAGATCCTTAGTTCTGGAAATTACAACTGAGTAACGTGAACATTCTTCCGCTCCCAGTCGTTTCTAGCCGCCCTTTGAATGGAACATTCCAAAAAGCACCTCAGTAGTTCAGCGATACTACTGCTTGCTGAATCATCTGAACCCACGTAGGAATTTAATGTCACACCTCCCACTTCAGAAGAGATTCTGCATTGCTGTGATTAAGTTCCTGGACCTGACTGTTGACTGGACTTGCTGCTATATTTAACGTCATTTTGGACGCTGACGAGATGCCTTTTGATCGACCACTGTTAGCCGTGGTTTTCATCTTATAGACGAGTCCATGGTTTTTTAAATCAAAATCACTAAGGTAAGGCTTGCTTGTAGTGCGTCTAAACTTTTCGCAAGTATTGTTATCCGACGATTTACTGGTTTTCATTAGGGCCAATTCACTGAAAGTTGGCTTCCGCCATGGTCAAATTGGCATCGACCACCTTAGGTTTTCGTAAAGTATTGGGGCAGCGGGACACTTGCAGTTGACCAACCGGGGTGGTTTTCACTAATTTGAATACTGCCTTTGACTCTGTTGATCGTACCAGCTTGCGACACTGCCGATCTGTGAACAGTGTGCCAAAGAAACTTTCATCCTGCAATGTCTACCACGATACTTGATGCTGGATAAGGGTCTATGGAAAGTCATCTGGCTTTCCCACGACAAGTGGGGTCCATCAGCGTTGTTCTATATCTGTTCTCCAATTTGCGATTGAACTGATTCTAAGTGATCGCCCCCCCCCCAGCTTTTCCTGGAGTGGAAATCCTGCCAGGTGGCCGACTTGGGAATCTTGAGTATTCGGATGGCAGCTCTTCTTGGATCTGACGTAGCAGCTATTCAAGCACTTCTGAAAAGACTGACGCGTAGCGCCGCACGCATCGGCATGTGCTTTGAACCTAAGTGCAAACTAGTGTTGCGGGACTGGACGGATGCGCCGCCGTTTTTGCCATTAATGAACAGGCAGTGGAAGCCGTGGCACGGTTTGGTTACCTTGGTAGCTGTCTCACCTCAGGTTGCCACATTTCTGAGATGAGTAATTCAACGATACTGGTCTGGCTTTTCAAAGGAGATATCAGTGAAAGGTAGGATGTATAAGGTGCAACTGAACGGATTAGAGGCTTGACTATTTCGCAATGAAGATATCAAATGATTGACCCCCTTTGATCACTAGAGCTAACAGAATATTACTTGCTTCTGGTTGGAATATCGGATAAGCAAAACTGAAGTTTGCCAGTTGCTCTTTGACACGTTAAGCCTTATGTACCCAGTGGGGCGCATTTTTAGCAATTTACAGTATCAACTGCGGGTTAAGTAAAATGACTTGAATTTTATGAATAGATAAAGAAAAGGGAAAAAGGCACATTGGTGTTCTTGAGCATTGAGTACATGTAGATGGGCAGAATCCTCGTACATTTTCTAGCCGACAGCGTAGTTTTGTGAGGACATTTATTAATCCCTTCCAACTGGCCTAAGAAGCATGGCCGAAACCAACAGACGGCGAATGGTGTGCGGTATCTCGGCTTAGCATTCAAAATATCAGTCTTGTTGACCTTGAAGTACTTTGGACAAATTCTTCCCATAAACCGTAGTATATCTGCAGTAGATAAAATAAAAATGATGTTCACTGAGAACGCAACGGCCGATTTAAAGGCCCCGCCAAGGCTTTCCCTCTTGACCCTTCGAGGAGTTTTTGTTATTTTTATTAACTTGCGTGGGCTAGGTCGTATCATACGTATGCACCTTAACCAATTCTCCAGGCGTCCATTGTATGCCGTTGCTGCACGAAGTTGGGCGTAAGTGCGAGTTGGTCATTCAGTGACGTGGTATGAAGACAGAAAACTGACCGAGCGATTTGGTCACACTGGTGCAAGCCATGTTTGTGGATGGGAGACTCAGATGGTCTACAACAGTGTCTGGAGATTCTATCGGGCATAGTATGGGCGCACATTCAGTGGCGTTCTTGCATTCAGTTGCTTGCACCCAGCCGTTAATTTTCCACCCCGATTAGTTCATTCAACTTCCTCCTTTATTCATATTTCTTTGTATTGTATTCGCGCCCGACTCCAATTTCTTACTGTTGTATGTTTTATTGTCATGTTGGAGATGCGAGTCGTGGAAACGAAATCCACCGCACTTCAGTGCTCGCATCATAGTTGGCCAATACACTTTTAAGAAATCCCTTAGTGGTTTTTTCCTCGCTGTTATCCGTTCTGTCAAATTCTCTCTCCTCCACAGTTTATCGTTGCCATCAATCCTAGACGCGGATCAAGTTCCAATCCTTGTTGTCTACCTTGAACTTTTTCCGATTTGGGCATGTTCTCAGAAATTTATTTGCGAGGACACACTGCAATGATAAGGAATTTTTGCGTTTGTTAGAGTAAAATGCACATACATGTGGGTTTTTTCTTTGTTCACTGTAGTTACCGGCTCCACATAGCTAAATTGGGTGCATTTTCAATGCACTCACCTTGGGCGCTTATCTCTCAGCAAGCAAGAGATGCGTGCACGCATGCATGCATACATGCACATGATTTGGCGCTTTCGTTTGTGTTAATCTCAAAGCAGCTTCAATGTACCGCGTTCAAGAATGGTTTGCGTTGAAGGTCAGGCTTGGTAATTCGAAACAGCACCACCACCACCAAAACGTCGGGGCAACCCTGGTCAACCGACACATGATGCCTAGCTGCTAATTATGCATGCGCGACCTAGCGCCATCCGACGAGCAAATGGAGTTCTGTCCTATTCTAACGCTCACCCAGTTGAACTGGTGTGCAACATCCTTTCGCCGTTGCGCAGGTCATCACACTGCACCTATAGAGGTTCCCACCCGCTGGCCCATGACAGGCAACTGGTTAAACTAGGTAGAACAGCTGCCCAGCAATGACATCTGGTGAGTGAACTGGCTGCATATATTCCAATTGTCATGACAATTTGCATACTCTTAATCGCAAGTGTGGCGAAGCGTGATTGACGAAACTCTGAGCCATCTAATCCAGCACGATTGGCACAGAGCGAAATAGACTTGATTGCCTGCGAAGGCGGCTGGCGCTGCATTTGAGTAAAAGCCAAATTATCGCAAAGCCATCGCAATGCCGTGTAACTAAGTTGTAATCTAACGATGTTGCCACGCCGGCAAGTGTTTAAACCAAACGTGTGGCCTCCGTGTAGCAAGTGAAGAGAGCGGAAACTCAGGCCTCTTTTTCTACTACTGTGTGTGGCGTGTGCACTAGATGGTTTGGATTGAGCGTGGTTTGCGGGTTCTTGCGCGTCACATTCTCACGTGCACATCGGGTAGATCGAAAATTCCTTAAGGTAAATTGCCACTAGCTGCTTTTCGGCTATCAATTTCCTAATTAATATATGGCGTAGTGCGGCAGCCGCTTAACATATTCCGCTTCATAAGACTTAGTCATCTCAAATCGTACGACAATGACTCCTCTGTTTCAACTAGATACTTGCACAGAGCGAGATTCGATGAACCCAGTCTACGATCTTCAGGACGATAATAAAGTTTCATAAAATACTCAGCGAATATGGCATCCATGGATAGAATCCTTGTTTTATTTGCGTTTGATCAGAAGGATTATCGAATTTGTAACCGTTTTTCCATCTGTTTGACGATTCTATTCACTACCACAAAAACGTTGATCAGTAGACGGTTGTTAAATGCTTGAATGTGCCCCCGAAGATTTCCGGTACTAGATAATTAACATGGTTCACGTTAGTGGCAAACCATTTGAGGTCACAGGAATTCTAAAAGACCGATACGAGGCTCCTTGTCCTGTTACACTATCCCATAAGACGATATCACGAACAAACCTCCATTCGGTCAACTGGAGCTTTTAGTTGCTCATGATATCACCGTTATCCCGTCTTGCTTTTCAGCGTTGGAACGGCGACATATACCACTTGCATTAGAACAACCTGTTGGGTGTACATCAACAACGCAGTGCATCAGCTTACGCAAGGAGCAGTGGCTTTCACAAAGTTGCTATCCCATGTGCCGAAACATTCTCGTCTATGTAGCGAAAGAACAAAATCGCCAAGGCTGCCCACGTAGCATTTTCACATGAAAGGTCATTCATAGTATGACTCAATCTGTCTACTTCATAAAATATAACTTCATTGAGGAATAATGGATTCTGATTTCAGTAACCCAGTACCATATTCCCTAACCAAAAAGGAAATCACCCTTTGAATGTATTGCATGATTTGTATATTTCGATTAGGGACCCTGCAATCTTTGTCAATTGAGTAACAATACATGGGAAACCAGCTGTAGTACGCGGGGTTCCGAGCGAGTAGCACCTAACTTTCATCTGCATCACAGGGGATACATGTCACCGAATTGGCCGAGTTTCGATTAAAAGTGAGCTAAGGTCCAGATTGAGATAACACGTCATATTTCGTTCAGACAATGGCTGCTGTAATATTACCAGCAATTATTTCACGTGTTCTTCACAACAGCACGCCTATGTGCGATATGTAGTCGAACGAGCGGGAGGAAAAGGTCACGGGAGAAAATTAATACACAATTTCTTAAGTTAAGCTGAAAATGCCGCTTAGAACCGGCAGTCACACCTGACAGGTTTACTCCGTGGTCATTATTATGAGTAATACGGAGTTCACTTTTCTTTTTTTGAACTCGACTTCCACCTGCTCTAAATAGTCCTCTGAATGGACAAAAAATAGACCGATACAGAACTCTATGAGCTGAACTTTAGCTACTTTGCATGCATCCAGTAGAACTGCAACAGATCGTCTAAACGTATTATGGTTGTGACTTACATGATTACCATAGAACCGCACCTTGACTATTTCGTTTCTTTACGTTCTCGCAGTTACCTCATTACTGCGAATTTTATCCGTTTTCTTCAACCTATCAACGAATCGTTACTTTGCTTCTGTCTCCGCACTAGGTTAATGTTTTCAGTTCGGACGCCGTAGGGAGCGCCGGGTTGAACTTTATGATTATCGTTGTCATGGTCGCAGTGACTGGCCTGGTGTCCATATGTTTGGTTGTCGCTATTATATGCGTGCGTCGGCGTTCCTTCTCTACTCGGCCTTGCTTCAACTTGACCGATCGGGATGACGCTACTGGATTGCGACGGGGGCGTGATGCTGGAGACGGAGCGGAGGTGCACTTCCCCTTTAAACATGAATACGGCTTCCCAGTTGACGGTGCTAGTTACTTGATGGGAATCAGTCCGACTCCGTCCGATCTTGACGCACTGAAATTTAGCTATCAACAAACAGCATCCATACCCTTCCTTGGTGCGGTGAATGGAGGAGCTGACACGGGACACTTATTTGCATGGTCGGGGCTGAATGCTTCAAACTCCGTTTGTTATCCGGTGGGGGTACCAATGAACTTCATCGGTGAACACGCTGTCACAGCCGCAACACTGAATTCCCATCCGACTACGACATTGAGGCTACCCACGTACGGATCATATAGCCGATACAGCCCATCGACTGTCGGTTCCGATCAAGCCACACTTAGGCTAATGCCCCAAGCCCACTGCCCAGATATTGCAGTACCAACCTCTTCTGCTTGCCTGACTTTCATCTCAAATTCTCCGGTTCTGGATCAAAACGTCCCAAATTCAGCGGCACTGCAAAATTTTGTTGAAGCTGACTCGAATGTAGGCAAACACGACCGGAGGGAGGACATGAATATACCATGCTGCGTTGACTCTGGGAACGACCACTATCATCAGCATCAGTATCCTTCGGGAAATCGCGGCTCGTACGATGGCGAAATTGCATTTAGACACAGTGTCACGGTGGGTTGAATTCTAAATCTCTCTCTCATTTGTCCATTACCTTCATATGAAATTTTACTTGTGCGTATGTCCTAAACGTCATCTGGTGAATTATTGATGAGATAACATGTTGCCTGCTCTTCGTATCATAAACCCTAATCAACGTTGAGTATGCCAACACCGATCTAGCAATTAGTGCGGTGCACAAGCATCCACAAATGTTTTTGGTGACCGGATTCTATGGATTTCCACATGCTGATGACTCCCTTGATCTATTGTGGCCAGGTGTACGCGCTTTTAACCAATAGGTTCTGGTGTATCTTCTTCAACTATCTGCTTATCGACTAGCACTTCTAGATAAGCGAGTGAGACATTAGTTTCTCCGCCTGACCTTTCTCTCTGACGCAGTTCCTGACTGCACCCAATGCGACGACCCATTTGTCATACAATTTCTGCCAATCACCTAGTAACCAATATTTGAACAATGATCAGACCGATACCAGTTCATTTCGTGCCTGAATATGCAAGTGCAGCTCGATGCTCTCTTCAACCACTCTTATAATTCGAGCTCCTGAGCGCTTCTTATTAACACTAAAGAAAAAACTATGCCAGTTAAACGTGTCTGCCCATACCTATGTTTAATTCACCTCAGCTAACAATGACCATAATTAAATTGCTTCAAGTTGCTACATCAATGTTCCATTTCAGTTAGGTACCCTCACGATTGTCAATTCAGTAGTTGACGAATTAGAGTTCCAGTATTATTGTACGTGCGTTCAGGCGTTAAATTTTGGCAATTCTTTGCTGTCACTGCTTCCTCTATTCTCACTGGGCTTTATTTAACCCAGAATATCCCTCGTTTTTTCTTGACTTATTTACTCCACGAATATGTGCCCATTTTGATGAGCCCTACCTTTGATGGAATAGTGCGTAAAATTAACATCAAGAATCTGTCATCTAATTCACTTGCCTTTTCAAATGTCTGCATTAACATTGCTAGCAGTTCTTTGTATAACTCCATCTACTTGTTAAACGGTGTTTTCCCCCGGGACTTGTGTTCCTCACAGCACCTAATCATTGAGAACTGGTCCACTGACTACACATAACACATCATTGTCTCTTTACTGAACTACTGTGTCTCATTTCCCTTGGGATGGGGCGAGTTGGGAGGAACCGGCGCCACAGTGTATCAAGTTGCTCCACACCAATTGCCAATTTAAATGGCGGCGGTCACTCATTCTATCCGGAATGTTAGACATGACTAGTGAGGTTTTCTTAAATTGTCTAAATCGTTGACAATGACGTGAGTGTTTCGCTTTTCTAGCGCATGGCGTTCATATTCGGCCATTACTTTACATCCAACTGAGCAATACGTGGGTGTTTAAAAAAACCGAACTTTTGATATAAAATATTTTTCGCTCAACGCACAATCTTTTTAGCACATTCCCCCTCAAACTACGTCCCCTCTACTGGCAGTACACCGTTCCCAACGGTGTTTCCATTATTAGGAAGCCTCCTGGAACGCACTTTCTGGAATGTGCGCCGGTCTCCTGTCGTATTGTCGTGGATCTCCTCCATAGTTTGGAAACGACGTTCTTCCAATGTGATTTTCAGTTTAGGAAAGGAGAAAAAGTTTGCAGCGCCTAAGTCCAGAGCATACCGTGGATGGGGTACAACAGGTGGGCTATTTTCTATATAACTGCGGACAATGAGCGATACGTGAGCCGGCGCAGTGGCATGCTTCAGCATCCAAGTCTGTTTTTCAAACAGTTCAGACCTCTTCCTCCGTACAATGTTGCACAAACGCACTAGATTTCGTTGGCATGTTCGTACGCTACTGCCCACTTCGTCAGCAATTCTCGAACAGTTAAACGATGATTTAAACGGATCACAGCACGAACCCTTTCAAACTGGTCACATTTTGTTGATATGAGGGTCGTCCAGGCTTGGGATCGTCACCGACTGACATTGTGCCGTGTTCAAAACACTGAAACCACTCATAGCACTGAATATGACTCACACTCCTCCCTGTATGCCTAGCTAAGCAACTGAAATGTCTCTGTAAAAGTTTTACCAAGTTTGTAGCAAGTTTACGCGCACATATGTTGGTATTAAAGCTCTTACATTGTCTCATGGGCACCAATCCGACGAACAGCTTGTGCATGAGTTCACTTCAGCGGTTGTAGCTCACCATCCAGCAGTCAGAGCGAAATGTGGCAAATGGCATTTTGTTGTCCAAAGAAGCGTACGCAAGCACTCTGTAACTGCAGCGCGCTCCCTCCGCCGACTGGCGCGCTATTTCAAAAGTTCGCTTTCTATCTGAACGTCCATAGTATGATATAACTGATCCTGTGGCTTGCTTGCATGAAGGTTATTGCGGTGTATAGGCGTGGTTAGACTACTTTGCTCATCTGAGACATTACTGATCCAATGGTTCTTCTTTCATGCTTCACTCCAATGGCAATCGTTCGTATGAAATTTTTATCTCGTTGCTACTTAGAAGCGATGTATGGAGAGCACGGTCACCATTTATACCATAAAATCTTGAAGCGGACAAATATCGACAACCGGTAGGATTTCCTGATGCTCAGTTTCCACCCAAGGAGAGATGTGCAAAGCGTGTGGACAGCATTACGTTACACTAAAAATTACACGGGTTTACTTTGTATTCCGATAGCATCCGTCGTTTTTATATGCTCCTAACTTGGAGCTAGACTGTTATTTCACACTGCTACAAAAATGTCCGCGGTGTCTTCTTCACTTCGGTTTTATATTGGGACCAGATATGCAGTGATGTTTCCTTAGTGTCGACAATATTTGTTTAACGGATCTACACATTCACCAAGTCTTGCTTACAAATAGGCATCGGACACATTTTCTTTAGGCTACTGATTTGTGAGCAGTGTTGGGTCGGACCGTGAACAAAATCCGCTGTTGACTTTGTCTCCCAACGCGGACAACTCAGTTTTGTTGCGTTGTGTCTTGACTACCAGCCGGCTTTTCTGCATCTCTAAGCATGCATATTGGCCAAAACTGTTCCGGTTACTTGAAGCGGCACGCCGGTTTATTGATACACCTGAGAAGGTAACTGAACACATTTTGCTACTGTGTGCAGGTGCCATGTCACCGATAAATCAATATGATTTTTCTTCCCCTCACACAGAGAACATTCTTTTAATTGGAACAACGGTTCAATGAACATGTACTCTCAATGTACGATACAACCACACGTGACAACATGTGACGAAATTCGTTTTCGTCATTGTACTATAAACGTGTTTGTACCCACTGACACCTAAATCATGACGTCCTAATCTACAGAACTTTGCATTCTAAGGATAGAAGGTGTCTGGTCACTCATGCCACATATCTGTTCGTTGGCCTTACTGACTCTAAGCATTCTGCTATCACTTAATGTGCACTGGAAAAATTTTCTACCTCGGCCGTAAGAACGCTTGATTGTACGAATGAATGTTCTCTCAGGATGAATTGGTCTCCTATCCGCCACACCACTGACGAGAGCTCATTATGCCTGCCTATGTTTGAGGGACTTATGAATGGTGCGCCACGTTTAAACGCTGTTACACTGCTTTGTACCACATCTTGATTCGTGGATTATCTGAGCCTACCAGGAATTACATTGGAAACCGATGCCTGCCGTAGTCTTACAGAAACGTCTGAGCGACGACAATAGGATGGCAAATCATGAGGATGTGTGAAGTCTTCTGGGCTTCCCATGACGAATGTTTGCGGTGGCAGCTGTAGCTACTGTGTATTTTAATAGGAAGCCGCATCTCCAACACAAACTCTTGCGTCTTGGATCACAAGCATTTGCAATGGTATCAGCCTAGATCCTGATACCAGGGCGGTTGAGCTATAACATGAATCCCTGATCAATGAAAGGGACTGAAATTCAGGTTAGTTGATTGTCAGGGTTTGTTTTGAGCTGTGTGTTATACCTGACGCACAAAAATTCAGCTGTGTTTCATATCCGTTGTGCGTACTCCATGTCTCAGCTATCCGCATAGTGGGGTCAAGTGAGGTAGGAGACAAATTTTTGCTGGATGCATCCTTTCGTGACTGACTCAGTTTAGATCCTGTTGTAATCGCACATGACATCTCGCAAGTCTGGACATAAGTGACTCACACAATGACGGCTTCCTATCATTCCTTTCCCTTCCCCGTCCTGACGATGATGGTGGTTGTGGTGACTCTGATGGTATGGTAGATCGGCTGTGAATTTCCAACTAACCATCGCCTACGCCCCGGGCATCTGTCTGCGTGACTCATTGCGCTTGAGCTTCACATCACACTGGGGATGTCATGAGCACACAACATTCCATTCACCCCCTACCCATTCATGAGTGTGGATACGTTTTGAGCTATAGAGTCCTGTGAGCCTCATGCACACTTTGTGCATTGGTCTGTGTTGCGACTATCCAATTTCATGCAGACTGTTATGTTTCTCTTCCTCAACCCGGGGCTATAATTGAGATTCCTCAATAGATACCATATTAATCTCAACATGCACATTGCATCTCCGTTGCAGGTGTGCACTCGATTCTTTTCACTGTCCCCCTGCCACATAGTCTATACCTGGCAGATTTCGCTGTATGTGAGCAGGAGAAACAGGACTCCGATTTTGTCTCAGAAGCATCTATTGTGGCCAAAGAACTGATCCTAACCTAGATCTTTCTGGGGTGCACGATATTCTACTCGTGGATATCACTAAGTGGTTACTATGCGGTAGGGACATAGAACCTGAGATTTTTGAAATTAATGCCGAACTTCTGGATCAGCTTTTGGTTTTTGAGTTAAAATATAACTAGTTTGTGCAGCTTTGCGTAAATTCATCTACATTTTTGGGCTGTGCCGCCGTAACGTAAGCACCGTAGATCACCATCCTTAATGTGGTTTGACCATGCACCTACTGTACAGCCGAAGTCTCTTCAACTATCCACAGTGTCCTTGAACACACATCAGATAGTGCAATTCGTGGGACAAAAGATGTATGCACATTT